GTCTGGATGACTACATGTGCTCTTTTGTATATAGTGTCTGTGTGAATGCATATGTGACAGGTGACAGAGTGTGTGAGGGAGAAGGTGACAGGTGGAAGAGTGTGGGAGGTTGTGACAGGTGGCAGAGTGAGGGGGTACCTGGTGGCAGAGTGAGGGAGGGGTTGAGTGGTGGCAGAGTGAGGGGGAGACACAGTGAGTGGGGGTAACTGGTGACAGAGTGAGGGAGTGGGTGACTAGTGACAGAGGGAAGGAGAGGGGGAGACTAGTGACAGAGGGAGGGAATGGGAGACTAGTGACAGAGTGAGGGAATGGGAGACTAGTGACAGAGTGAGGGAATGGGTGACTAGTGGCAGAGTGAGGGAGGGAAGGGGTGACTAGTGACAGAGTGAGGGGATGACTGGTGACAGAGTGAGGGGGGGGTGACTGTCACCAGTCACCCCATCCCTCTCTCTGTCACTAGTTACTCCCTCCCTAACTCTGTCACTGTGTCACCCACTCCCTCACTCTGTCACTAGTCACCCCCTTACTCTGTCACTGTGTTACCCCCTCCCTGTCACTAGTCACCCCCTCCCTCACTCTGTCACTAATCACCCCCTCTCTCCCTAGTCACCCCCTTCCTCACTCTGTCACTAGTCACCCCATCCTTCTCTCTGTCACTAGTCACCCCATCCCTCTCTCTGTCACTAGTCACCCCATCCCTCTCTCTGTCACTAGTCTCTCCCTCCCTAACTCTGTCACTGTGAAGGAAGGGGTGACTGGTGACAGAGTGAGGGGATGACTGGTGACAGAGTGAGGGAAGGGATGACTAGTGGCAGAGTGAGGGAAGGAAGGGATGACTGGTGACAGAGTGAGAGAGGGGGTGACTAATGACAGAGTGAGAGAGGGTGTGACTAGTGACAGAGTGAGAGAGGGGGTGACTAGTGACAGAGTGAGAGGGGGGGTGACTGTCACTAGTCACCCCATCCCTCTCTCTGTCACTAGTCACTCCCTCCCTAACTCTGTCACTGTGTCACCCCGTCCCTCACTCTGTCACTAGTCACCCCCTCTCTCACTATGTCACTAGTCACTAGTCACCCCCTCCCTCACTATGTCACTAAGGACAGAGGGGGTGATTAGTGACAGAGTGAGGGAGGGGTGACTAGTGACAGAGTGAGGGAGCAGGTGACACAGTTAGGAGGGAGTGACTAGTGACAGAGGGATGGGGTGACTAGTGACAGTCACCCCTTCCCTCTCTCTGTCACTAGTCACCCCCTCTCTCACTCTGTCACTAAGGACAGAGAGGGTGATTAGTGACAGAGTGAGGGAGGGGGTGACTAGTGACAGAGTGAGGGAGCAGGTGACACAGTGACAGAGTTAGGAGGGAGTGACTAGTGACAGAGGAATGGGGTGACTAGTGACAGTCACCCCTTCCCTCACTCTGTCACTAGTCACTCACTCTGTCACCTGTCACTCCCTCACTCTGTCACTAGAGTGAGGGGGTGACTAGTGACAGAGTGAGGGAAGGGGTGACTAGTGGCAGAGTGAGGGAAGGGGTGACTAGTGGCAGAGTGAGGGAAGGAAGGGGTGACTAGTGACAGAGTGAGGGAAGTGGTGACTGTCACTAGTCACCACCTCCCTCACTCTGTCACTAGTCACCACCTCCCTCTGTCACTACTCCCTCCCTCCTTCTGTCACTAGTCACGCCCTCCCTCACTCTGTCACATGTCATCCCCTCCCTCACTCTGTCACATGTCATCCCCTTCCCTCACTCTGTCACCCCCTCACTCTGTCACTAGTCACCCCCTCACTCTAGTGACAGAGTGAGGGAGGGGGTGACTAGTGACAGAGTGAGACAGAGTGACTAGTGACAGTCACCCCCTCCCTCACTCTGTCACTAGTCACCCCCTTCCCTCTCTCTGTCACTAGTGTGAGGGGGTTACTAGTGACAGAGTGATGGAAGGGGTGACTAGTGACAGAGTGAGGGAGGTGGTGACTGTTACTAGTCACCACCTCCCTCACTCTGTCACTAGTCACCACCTCCCTCTGTCACTACTCCCTCCCTCCTTCTGTCACTACTCCCTCCCTTCTTCTGTCACTAGTCACCCCCTCCCTCACTCTGTCACCAGTCATCCCCTCCCTCACTCTGTCACCAGTCATCCCCTTCCCTCACTCTGTCACCCCCTCACTCTAGTGACAGAGTGAGGAAGGGGGTGACACAGTGACAGAGTGAGGGAGGGGGTGACTAGTGACAGAGTGAAGGAGGTGGTGACCGTCACTAGTCACCCCCTCCCTCTCTCTGTCACTAGTGACACCCTCCCTCACTCTGTCACTAGTCACCCCCTCCCTCACTGTCACTAGTCACCCCCTCCCTCTCTCTGTCACTAGTGACACCCTCCCTCTCTCTGTCACTAGTCACCCCCTCCCTCACTGTCACTAGTCACCCCCTCCCTCTCTCTGTCACTAGTGACACCCTCCCTCACTCTGTCACTAGTCACCCCCTCCCTCACTGTCACTAGTCACCCCCTCCCTCACTGTCACTAGTCACCCCCTCCCTCTCTCTGTCACTACTCACACCCTCCCTCACTCTTTCACTAGAGTGAGGGGGTGACTAGTGACAGAGTGAGGGGGGTGACTAGTGACAGAGTGAGGGGGGTGACTAGTGACAGAGGGAAGAAAGGGGTGACTAGTGACAGAGTGAGGGAGGGAGTGGGTGACCAGTGACAGAGGGAGGGGGTGACACAGTGAGGGAGGTGGTGACTAGTGACAGAGTGAGGGAGGTGGTGACTGTCACTAGTCACCACCTCCCTCACTCTGTCCCTAGTCACCCCTCCCTCTGTCACTAGTCACCCCCTTCCCTCCCTAACGCTGTCAACTAGTCACCACTTCCCTCCCTCACTGTCACTAGTCACACCCTCCCTCACTGTCACTAGAGTGAGGGGGTGACTAGTGACAGAGTGAGGGAAGGGGTGACTAGTGACAGAGTGAGGGAGGTGGTGACTGTCATTTGTCACCACCTCCCTCTGTCACTACTCCATCCCTCCTTCTGTCACTAGTCACCCCCTAACTCACTCTGTCACCAGTCATCCCCTCACTCTGTCACCAGTCATCCCCTCACTCTAGTGACAGAGTGAGGGAGGGTGTGAGTAGTGAGGGGGTGACTAGTGACAGTGAGGGGGGGTGACTAGTGACAGTGAGGGGGTGACTAGTGACAGTGAGGGGGTGACTGGTGACAGTGAGGGGGGGGTGACTGATGACAGTGAGGGGGGGTGACTGGTGACACAGCAGGGGTGACTAGTGATAGTGGGGGTGACTAGCAGACAGTGAGGGAAGGGGGGGTGACTAGTGATAGTGGGGGGTGACTAGTGACAGTGAGGGGAAGGGGGGGTGACTAGTGACAGTGAGGGGTGACTAGTGACAGTGAGGGGGGGTGACTAGTGACAGTAAGGGAGGGGTTGACTAGTGATGGGGGGGTGATTAGTGCCTACCTTTCTTTCTGCTCCCTCTTCTGTCCCAGGCTGCTGCTCATTCCCCTCGCTGATCGGCTCTGTGTGAGAGCAGTAAACAGGAAGTGATGTCACTTCCTAGCCCCGCCTCTCCCATCACACAGAGCCGCGTGGGACAGGAAGCAGGAGACCTGGCAGGGAGGAGGTGAAGCTGCCAGGTCTCATTTTGGGGGGTGACTTGCAGAGCGGTAGGTTGTGGGGCCCCGCGCTGCATCAGGGGCCCCACAACCTATCAATTAAATAGTTTAATTTTATTATTTTTTGCCGTTCCAGTTGGAGAGATCTCTGATCTCTCCAGCTGGAGCATGGCTTTGCGGCCGGGCCCCTGACTATCTCGGGCCCTCGGTCCATGACCGAAGTGCCCAAGTGGTCAGTCCGCCCGTGTATGCATCACATTCACATAAAACTTACATTTTCAGAATCAGCATACTCCAAATACAAACATATGTCAAAATCATCCAAATTGGTCCATTGGTTCAAAAGATAGATCGAAGTCCTTTGTGACCAAATGAAGCATGGCTTTTCTGCCCAAAACCAGTTCCACAGAGTCTTCTATCCTGGAGATAATTGGGAAGTAATCCAATTATCTCCAAGGACAGAGGCAAAACTCCATTAGGTACATGACAGTAAAAAGACAGTAAAATACAATAAAATACACATAAAAAGGTTACATTTATTACATAAAATACAGACATGCAACATATCCCCAGACAGCTTATTACTGAATGGCGCTCAGACCACACACATACAGTTCAATTGCCATGGAGCCAAAGTCTCCATGACATAGCTATCTGGGTTAAATTAGTTCATTCAGTAAATCCGAGAATCTACCGAACGCCAGAGCAGAAATACATGAATAGACCTTTCTGCATAGGAAAATACAGTATTTAAATGCCGGTCCATAGTCACAAGGCAGCAGGCAGGCAACCAGGCTCCTCCAATGCACAGTGGCGAGATTGGTCTCGTCACAGTAAAGATTAATGCTGGGTTAAGGTTAATTATATTTTAGGGTGAGGGATAGTAAAGGGTAAGGTTAGGGTAGGTGTACAGCTATAGTTAATGTAAGCATAGGGTTAAGAGGAGGGTTAGTATAGGGATAGTGGTAGGGTGTTGGTGTAAAGTTAGCATTAACTACCAATAATTAATTTAGATCCTAGATATATGAGGTATTTAACAATCAGCACTGACATGTGAATCTATTTTGAATTCTCTTTTTGTTGTTATTATGAAATTACTATTATTACTATAAGCAAAAATGTGATATGTTTCTTTTTTTTTTTTTCTTTTTTTTTTAGGTATACATATATGATATTAAAATAAAGCTGTAATAATTAACTCCACCTCTAGTGACTGTCTACCAGACAGCCACTACATGGACTTCTGGGGTGTTAGGCAACTTTATCTCTGTAAGTTTAACTTTTAGTGCATGACTCACTACTTTTCAAAATATTTTTTTCATCAATACTGTTTTTGGACAAAATAAAAGTTCTCCTTATTATATTTTGGTGGTTTGAAAAGAAGTCAAGTATACAGTGCCTTGCAAAAGTATTCACCCCCTTGACGTTTTAGCTATTTTGTTACATTACAGCCTTAAGTTCAATGTTTTATTAATATGAGTTTCTACCTGTCCTCCCCTGATCTCTCTCCGCCCACCTTGACTCGTGTTTCTGACTGCCTCTCTGCTATTTCCAACTGGATGGCTGCTCACTTCCTTAAACTCAACCTGTCCAAAACAGAACGTCTAGTTTTTCCTCCCTCAAGTGCTGCTACTCCTGTGTCTGTCTCCATCCAAGTCAACGGCGCTACTATCACCTCTACCTCGCAGGCTCGCTGCCTAGGGGTTCTTTTTGATTCTGATCTCTCTTTTACTCCCCATGTCCAATCGATAGCCAAATCCCGTCGCTTCTAACTCAAGAACGCCCCATATCTAACGCCGGACGCGGCGAAGGTACTGGTTCATGCTGTTGTTCTCTCTCGCCTTGACTACTGCAATCCCCTTCTCACCTGTCTTACATGTTCCCAGCTTGCACCGCTGCAATCTATAATGAATGCGGCTGCGAGGCTTATTTTCCTGTCACGTCCACGCTCTGTCAGTCCCTGCATTGGCTTCCAGTTAGATATAGGGCCCAATTCAAAATTCTGGTGCTTGCTTACAAATCCCTACATAATGCTGCTCCAACATACCTATCTTCACTCATACACAAGTATGTCCCTTTGAGACCCCTGCGCTTAGCCCAAGACCTACGCCTATCCTCTGCCAGGATCCCCACCTCTGATGCTCGCCTTCAAGACTTCTCCAGGGCTGCACCTATTCTGTGGAACTCCCTTCCCTCCTCAATCAGTCTTTCACCCAGCCTCCACTCCTTTAAAAAATCTTTCAAAACTCACTTTTTCATTAAAGCGTATCAATTAAATTGTCAGCAGGTTTCTCATCCCCCACCCCATGACTCCTTTCCTGCAACTGTCAAAAATGACCTACCAAGCACTCAATAAACCCTTCTCTAACAAACTATTTAATTCCCCTCATTTCACTATACCCCACTCCCTCTAGCATGTAAGCTCATCGAGCAGGGCCCTCAACCCCCTCTGTTCCTGTACGTCCAGTGGTCTGATCTCAATTATGTGTCTGTTTGTCCACCCATTGTACATCGCTACGGAATTTGTTGGCGCTTTATAAATAATAAAATAATAATAATAATAATAATTATAATAATAATAATGTGATGGATCAAAACAGAATAGTCCAAGTTGGTGAAGTGAAATGAGAAAAATATATACATAAAACTATTTTTTAGAAATAGAAAACAGAAAATTGGCATGTGCGGATGTATTCACCCCCTTTGTTATGAAGCCCATAAAAAGCTCTGGTGCAACCAATTACCTTCAGAAGTCACATAATTAGTGAAATGATGTCAACCCGTGTGCAATCTAAGTGTCACGTGATCTGTCATTACATATACACACCTTTTTTGAAAGGCCCCAGAGGCTGCAGGTTATAAAAAATATCCAAATCTTTAATGATCCCCAGGAGCACCATCAAATCTATCATAACCAAATGGAAAGTACATGGCACAACAGCAAACCTGCAAAGGGACGGCCGCCCACCAAAACTCACGGACCTGGCAAGGAGGGCATTAATCAGAGAGGCAGCACAGAGACCTAAGGTAACCCTGAAGTTGCTGCAGAGTTCCACAGCAGAGACTGGAGTATCTGTACATAAGGCGACAATAAGCAGTACGCTCTATAGAGTTGGGCTTTATGGCAGAGTGGCCAGAAGAAAGCCATTACTTTCAGCAAAAAACAAAATGGCATGTTTTGAGTTTGCAAAAAGGCATGTGGGAGACTCCCAAAATGTATGGAGGAAGCTGCTCTGGTCTGATGAGACCAAAATTGAACTTTTTGGCCATCAAAGAAAACGCTATGTCTGACGCAAACCCAACACATCACATCACCCATAAAACACCATCATGCTGTGGGGATGTTTTTCAGCAGCTGGGACTGGGAAACTGGTCAGAGTTGAGGGAAAGATGGATGGTGCTAAATACAGGGATATTCTTGAGCCTGTACCACTCTGTGCGAGATTTGAGTCTAGGATGGAGGTTCACCTTCCAGCAGGACAATGACCCCAAACACACTGCTAAAGCAGCAGGTTTAAGGGGAAACGTGTAAATGTGTTGGAATGGCCTAGTTAAAGCCCAGACCTTAATACAATAGAAAATCTGTGGTCAGACTTAAAGATTGCTGTTCACAAGTGCAAGCCATCCAACTTGAAGCAGCTGGAGCAGTTTTGCAAGGAGGAATGGGCAAAAATCCCAGTGGTAAGATGTGGCAAAAGTTGTCTCTACAAAGTATTGACTTTAGTGGGGTGAATAGTTATGCACATTGACTTTTTCTGTTATTTTGCCCTATTTGTTGTTTGCTTCACAATAACATTTAAAGTTGTGGGCATGTTCTGTAAATTAACCCCTTCAGGTCGGAGTCAATAGTGCACGTTCTGATCAAAACAAAACGTAAACAAAAACTGGAATTTGCGCTATATGTCTGTTCAACCGTAATTCACCGCTGTCACATTAAGTGCACCCACACCTATTATATATCATTTTGTTCAGGAGAAACAGGGCTTTAATTTATCATTAACTATTCATATATGGAACATAATTTATTATGAATAAAATTTAAAACTAAAACTAAGTGGCTACTAAGAAAGACTGGACATACCCCACTTGCAATACCTTGGGTTGTCTACTTTTGCAAATGTTATGCCATCATGGGGGTAATTCTCATTCCTGGGCTACCGTACGCTCTCAAAGGCAACATAACCAATCTGGCAAATTTCAATGTCAAAAAAATTAAATGCAAGCCTTATATGTGACTCTCTAACTTTCCAAAACACCATAAATCCTGTACATGGGGGTACTGTTATTCTCAGGAGACTTCACTAAACACAAATATTTGTGTTTTAAAGCAGTAAAACATATTACAACAATAATATAGTCCATAAAAGTGCCGTTCGTTTGTAAAAAATGCAAAAATCTTCACTTTTACTTAAAATATCATCATTGTAATACAATTTACCAGTTTGAAACACTATTATTTGAGTTCAGCGAAGTCTCCTGAGTAAAACAGTACCCCCTATGTACAGGTTTTATGGAGTCTTGGAGAGTTACAGGGTCAAATATAGTGCTTGCGAATTAAATTCTCTGCACTTTCTCCCTGTGTTGTCAGGCATGTTTAGCAAATTTTAATTAATCAAATCACATAATTATGTTAAAAGATTACTTAAATATACATGTAGAATTTTAATATATATGCATTTATAGGTATTTAAATTCTACGTGTATACTAATGTAATCTTGTAATTATATGTATTTATCTATATATATGTATATATATTTGCGGTTATTTGTATTTTATATATAGATAGATATATATAGAATGTCATTCTAAGTGTATTTTGTTACCAATATATATATATATATAACAAAATACAGTTAGAATGAGATTACGTATGTATATATAATTTATATTAAATTTTGTTTCGATATTTTATCTATTTATTTTATTATTTTATTTATTTATTATTGTAATTATACGTATATATATAATATATGTATATATATCTATTTTATATATATAATATATATACATATTATATATATGTAACGTCATTCTAAGTGTATTTTAATACTAATATATGTACTTATATTAATATTAAAATACACTTTGTATAACGTTACATATATATAATATGTATATATGTAAGGCCTTGGCCTGTAGTTGTGGGAGGGGCTTGAATTCCCTTTCCTGACTCGAACTTTATCAGGCACGTTTTCACAACCCCGTACTTTCTATTTAGAGTTATACTGGCTCTTTGAGATTTAGGTTGCCCAACTAGGTTTCTGTTTTCCGGTCTTAATCCATATGTTAGTGGTCCCACGAGGCCAACACCCATCCTCATACTCAAAGGTATTCGTCCCTCGGCCCAAATCATAGGTAGCCGTCTCGCATTGTTGCATAGGGAGGGACTCCCATGTCACTCCCATTCTTTCTTATGCTTTAGTTGCCACCGAGAGGCCAACACCCAGCCACAACGTTTCAGTGGCCTCAAAATTCCCCTCGGGCCAACTTATAGTTAGCGCCTCCCACGCCGCTTGGCATTTAGAAGGGCCTCATCTGTCACGTCAAGGTAGCTAATTTCTTCGCCACTTGGTACCCAGTCCCTTCGTCTCACTATAATGATTGATGAAGTTACATATGTATTTTCTGGTATGTATCACAGTTCCGGAGAGACTGGTGGTTCTAGTTCAGGTAGGTTGTTACACGTTTTGTTCTCTTTAGTCAACGTCACGTTATTGATTACAATTTTACAATACCATCCCTCACAGCATTTGGTTAAAATTATCTGAAAAATTATCTTATTAAGGCTGACTCAAGGGTTCCACGTGGGTTTTTGTATATTTTGACAAGTAGGACATTAGAATGCAATAACTTGCTACCGCTTTAACTGACCGAGAGTTCGTGTGTACAGTTATAAGGACGGAACTAGTTCAAGGGTTTGTGGGGGTTTTTGGTTCCCCTTCTTTGCACACAATTTTGGGGATCCTGCTGGACTCAAACCACATACAGGCTGGCCTTCCCCAAGACATGGATTGAGCGCACCTTCTCATGCATCATCCCACAGGGTAGATCCTTCATTTCCCGATTACTACTCTCTATTCCCATGACTCACCACAGACGCATCACGTATCACGTTAGACACTCTTGCAACCTTTGATTTACTTATGTGGCGCTTTCCTCGAATACTGGAAAGGGCGAGCCATGTTTATTCCCCCCTCTCTGACTTTTTACCTTATGTTTGTACAGATGCCGCTGCAAACTCTGGTTTTGCTGCCATCGGAGGGAATAAATGGCGTTGAGCGTCATGGCCCATAGACGTTAAGTCTCAACCCAGCTTCTCCCCTACTTCGGCCTTTTTTGAATGATATCCGATCATGACAGCTGCCATAGCCTGGGGACCGATATGGTCGGTCACTCGGTCGGATATTATTCACATACACCTAGCCATTGTGCACATAGGCCGATCTTTATGTCTGGTCATCAGGCGACTGTTGAGGAAACTCACATGGGTAGCCGCTTGCTAATCTTATCACATGTATTCACGTGCCTGTGTTTCACAAACATCTCAGCTGACCACTTCCATGGGTTTTGTTTCAGGCTTTCAGCCAGATACTGCCCACCTCTTCCAAGCTAGCTAACCTGCCCCGCCATTCCAAGACATTCTCATGGATTAAATGTATGGTTTAACCTTGCACGTCACGTTTCTCACCTTACACTTTCAGTCGACACTAGGTTATTATACGATATGGTGTTCTCATATTTTCACTAAGGCTGTAGTGGGGTTTCGAGTTCTTGACATGTTTGCTACGGAATCTGTTTTGGGTTCACTTCTTTTTGCCACCTTAACTTAAATTATCATTTAACACAATTAAACAGTATCTTACGGATATCCAACACCACATGCTCCTACGACACCCCAACAATACAGGATTCCTTTTTATCTTTTCTGATAAAGACCTACTGAAAGGAACTCTAAATCCAAGACACACATACCATCTCAAAGGCTACCCATCAACACTGCATATTTCCTTAACTATCCAACTTAGTAGATTCAGCTCCTGTTGAGCACATGACCATACGACAATCAAACGGCCATACATCTAGCATGCTATGGGTTCTTACATCTCATGAATTTACCACCAAGAATAAAACTACCACTGAATACCTGGGAACGACTGATATCCAGACACCTTAGACCATTAGATCCTATCTCTGCATTAGTCTATATCCATCCCTATAGCACATACGGTCACCATACCCCTATTACCTACTAACCAATGGTGCCAGGTGAAGTTCTGGATACTTATTGCATCACTTTACAAATACAACCACTCCCATCATTATCAGAACTTCATGGCTCCATTCTTACAGCATCTTAAGTCATGCTTCATGTTCACTTACTGTTAACTAGGCTCAGCCTAATACAAACCTTTTTTTACACTTCTCACCAGCAGGGGGACTGTCTGACAGCTCAGACAGTCCCCCTGCTGGCAGATCCACAGCCAGCTATAGGGGGCCATGTGATCGCTCTTTGAGAGCGATCACAAGGCCCCAGGGGGCCTCATTTGCCGGGGGAGGGCTGCCTGGGCTATCAGGCAGCCCTCCAGAAGAGGATCGCAGCAGAGGTAAGTACGCCGGATCTCCAGGGGCTCAAAGCCGTTACAGCATTCTATGCCGCCGCAACGGCTTTAAAGCCCACTTAATGTGGGACGGCATAGAACGCCGTAACGGCGTTAACGGGTTAAATGATGCAAATCCTCAAACAATCCATGTTCATTTCAGGTTGTGAGGCAACAAAACACGAAAAATGCCAAGGGTGGTAAATAATTTTGAAAGGCACTGTAAATTTATATTTTACTGCTATTGAAAAATAAATGTTTGAAAATGTGTGCTTCATCTCATACTACCTATATGTCATTAGAAATGTTTCATGAATGTATGGTTTTTGCATACATTTTTTTAAATACAGCATCAGATATAACACTATCATTAATCGTTGTATGTATTCTTGCAGTCTTACAGTCACAGTGACATAATGTTATGCTTTAATCTGCAATGCACTTATCAAAACATACATAAAGCAAATTTAAAGTTATATAGCTTTGTTTAAAGGGACACGATAGTCGCCAGAACAACTACAGCTTATTGCATTTGTTCTAGTGAGTAGGATCATTCCCTGTAGGCTTCTTGCTTAAACACTGTCTTTTCAGAGAAAATGCATTGTTTACATTAAAGCCTAGTAATAGCTCCTCTGGCCACTCCTCAGATGGCTGCTAAAGCTGCTTCCTTGGGCAGTGCTGCAGAGTAAGCAGCACTGCTATTCAGTGTCTCCTCTGTCTGCATGCAGACACTGAACTTTCCTCATAGAGATGCATTGATTCAATTCATCTCTATGAGGAGATGCTGATTGGCCAGGTCTGTGGTTGACTTGTGCTGACTCTGCCCCTGATCTGCCTCCTTGACAGTTTCAGCCAATCCTATGGCGAAGCATTGTGCTTGGTTCAGACCACCACTTCTAATGATGTCGGCAGACAGGGGCAGGTCTGAGGCAGACAGGGATAGAAACATGAGCTGCAGACTTGAATTCAAGTAAGATTTTACCATATTTAGGGAGGCAAGAGGGGACCAGGGGGACTAGATGATGGTTTTAACACTATAGGGTCAGGAATACATGTTTGTGTTTCTGACCCTATATTGCTCCTTTAAAACATTTGTAGTTTTAAGAATAAGGAGTTTTACAATGGGATTATTAGGTTCCTATTACATCTTTGAATAAAACATTGAACTTCATTTATATGTGTTACCATTTCTATGCTCTATAGCAGTTTTTATATTTTGGTTTTACATAAATTCACTTTGAATTCACATTGATTTCCAGACAATTCTCTGTTTAACCAGTAACACTGAGCAACAGAGGCGTAACAAGAAACCACGGAGCCCCAGGGCGAAAATTGCCCCCCCCTCGCCCCCCTCATACTTCTTACATATAGACACAAATGCAGACAAACAGATACACATACAGAAACACACACATACAGACACACACACATACAGACAAGCATACACGCACAAACAGAGACAAATACAAACATACATACACACATACGTGCAGACACATACATGCAGACACATGCATACAAACACAGGCATACATACATACATACATACAGACACATACATACATACAGACACATGCAAACACACACATACATACGTACAGAGAAATACATATAGACACATGCATGCAGACACATACATGCAGATACATGAAGACACACATACAAACACACACATACAGTTACACATACACATACAGACACACATATACATACACATACAGACACAAACATACATATAGGCACATACATGCAGATACATACATACAGACACACACAGAGACATACATACAGACACACACACACATGCTAAATGTTTTGGTCATCCTCCTGTTTCCTACCTTTTATGTTCAGGAGGCTAACTTTCCCTGGGGACCAGTGGCTGGTTCCAGCTGGGAGGAGTGACCAGGGCAGTCACTTTGTCCCAGCGTCTGACATCATCAGAGGGGGTCCGGTCGTTATTACAGTGCTGCAGCACTGACTGGGCCCCCTGGAAATACTTTGCCATCTGGTGGCCCCGCCCCCTTGGTGACATCACCAGAATTGCCGATTTTTGCCAATCCAATGCTTTCCCATTGGGGCGGGGCCAAACACAATCAGCACCTCCTCATAGAGATGCATTGAACAAATGCATCTCTATGAGGAAAATTCAGCATCCCCATGCAGAGCATTGGGACGCTGAATGGCAGAGCTGCCTACTGTACAGCACTGAGCCAGGAAGCACCTCCAGTGGTCATCTGATGAGTGGCCATCTGAGGAATGACCACTTGGAGGTGTCCCTAGGGGCAGTGTAAACAAAAAGGCAGTGTTTGCGTTAAAATTCCTGAAGGCAATGATTATAATCACTAGAACAACTACATTAAGCTGTAGTTGTTCTGGTGACTATAGCGTCCCTTTAAGATGTTTTAAATATGTATATATTTACTCTCATTATAATAAAAGTATTTACGGTACATCATCCATATATTTCTTTATTTCCAAGTGCATATTTTCAAATTACACTAAACATGCTAGCAATAGGTTCCCCAAAAATATTACAGATGCTAAAGCTTGCTGAAGTGCTTATTGTATCAAGAGTAGGTCCATTTCTTTCAAGAAAGTGCAGATATCAATAGATATTAACACTTTTGTAGGGCTTGGGTTTGGAGGGGAGCGTTAGTAAAGGCATATATTTATGAAACAGTGTTTTTTTTTTTCTTCAAGCAGTGGAGTGTCCCTTTAACAACTCTTTTTTTTACATCTGTTTCTGGAAGTACGCATCTTGCAATTATTATTATTTTTTTAAACACACTTCAAAAATAATCTTATTTATCTTAAAAAAATCTTATAACTCCAGTAATTTAACATTTGTGATTGATGATAAATTAAAGGCCACAAAATAATAAATATATAGAAATTGACTTTTATTTATATTAGTGGAAAGTTGGGGAATTTCCACAAAATAAAATATATAGTACACATAAGACATTTGGCATTTAACCCCTTAAGGACGGAGCCAAATGTACACGTTGTGAACAAAACAAAATGTAAACAAAACCTGGCATTTGCGCTACATGTCTGTCCAACCGTAATTCACCTCTTTCATAGTAAATGCACCCACCCTTATTATATATCATTTTATTCAGGGGAAACAGGGCTTTCATTTAATATCAAATATTTAGCTATGAAACATAATTTAATATGAAAAAAATGGGAGAAAATACGATTTTATTGGATTTTTTTAGTTCTACATGACATTTAAACGGTCAGTGTCATAATACTGTTTGCTTTTACTGCAATAAAATACACATATTTGTATTCAGCAAAGTCTCACGTGTAAAACAGTACCCCCTATGTACAGGTTTTATGGCGTTTTGGGAAGTTACAGGGTCAAATATAGCACGTTACATTTGAAATTGAAATTCGCCAGATTGGTTACGTTGCCTTTGGGACTTTATAGTAGCCCAGGAATGAAATTTACACCCATAATGGCATACCATTTGCAATAGTAGACAACCCAAGGTATTGCAAATGGGGTATGTCCAGTCTTTTTTAGTAGCCATTTGGTCACAAACACTGGCCAAAGTTAGCGTTAGTATTTGTTTGTGTGAAAAATGCAAAAAACGCCAATTTTGGCCAGTGTTTGTGACTAAGTGGCTACTAAAAAAGACTGGACATACCCCGTTTGCAATACCTTGGGTTGTCTACTATTGCAAATGGTATGCCATCATAGGGGTAATTTTCATTCTTGGCTACCATAGGGTCTCAAAGGCAACGTAACCAATCTGGCGAATTTTAATGTGAAAAAAATGAAACACAAGCCTTATATTTGACGCTGTAACTTTTGAAAACACCATAAAACCTGTACATGAGGGGTACTGTTGTACTCGGGAGACTTCGCTGAACACAAATATTTGTGTTTCAAAACAGTAAAAAGTATCACAGCAATAATATTGTCCGTGTAATGCTGTTTGTGCGTGAAAAATGCAAAAAACTTCACTTTTACTGGCGATATCATCGTTGTAATACATTTTACTGTTTTGAAACACTAATATTTGTGTTCAGCGAAGTCTCCCGAGTAGAACAGTACCCCCCATGTACAGGTTTTATGGTGTCTTGGAAAGTTATAGGGTTAAATATAGTGCTAGCA